TCCAATATGGAGGGCGAAGCGAGATGACTATGTACGAACGGGCAGGTGGGAGTTCTTCAGTGGGACGAACGCTGTCCCCATGATCATGATGAAAAAGACCACGAAAGACGGGTCTTTGAAGCTGCGCACTGTCCTAGACACGCGTCAGCGAAACAAGAATACTCGGAAGCTAGCGTCCCCGTTACCCGATATTGACACTATCCTTCGCAACGTGTCGTTGCACCCCTATCGCTCACTACTGGATGGCAAAGATGCCTATGAACAAATTAGGATTGTCCCAGAAGACGTACCTAAGAGTCTCTTCGCCACTCCTGACGGCACCATGATCAGCCACGTTATGCAGATTGGAGACTGCAACGCTGGAGCCACGTACCAGTCTCTTATGAACCATATTTTTGGCGCCTATATTGGTGCCTTCATGGACGTCTACCTCGACGATATAGTGATATACTCCGATAGCCCTGAGGAACACGTCAAGCACGTTAAGATTGTCATTAATACGTTGAGAGAGAATAACTTTTACCTGGGGGAACACAAGCTCCAGTTCTTCAAAGACGAGCTGCACATACTAGGGCACGTTATCGACGACGCGGGCATCCGACTCGACCCGCACAAAGTAGACAAGGTCGTCAACTGGAAGACACCTACATCCAAAGAACTCCTGATGCAGTTCATTGGCTCGGTAGGGTACCTGGCGTCAGGATGTGCTGGAGTGCGTGTTGACATGCAACATCTCTCCAAGGTAGCCGCCCAAACGACGCGATGGATGTGGACACCGACTGACCAACGAGCCTTTGACCTAGTCAAGGCATGCGTTGAAACCCATCGTAACGTTAGCAGAAAGGCGATAGACCTACCTTCAGCCATAAACGGATCGCAACCAGTCAACCTCACCACAGATGCGTCTCTGACGGGAGCCAGTGGTGTGATATCCCAAGGCCCGGACAGGCGGTCCGCCGCTGTTATAGCCTTCTGGTCAGGTAAATTCAATTCTGCGCAGCAGAATTACCCTGTGCACGAGCAAGAATTGTTAGCCATAGTCGAATCACTTAAACGGTTCCGGCACCTTCTGATTGGGTTCCGGTTTCGCATTTACACAGATCACAAGGGTCTGGAGTGGATATCCACCCAGACCAAGCTATCGCCTAGACAAGCTCGCTGGTTAGAGGCGCTCAGCGAATTCGACTTTGAGATTATATACGTACCTGGCGCAGACAATGAGCTGGCGGACGCACTGTCGCGTATCTACAGCAATGAACCTAAGGGTACAGTAAGGTCAGCCAGCGAATACGTAAGTGTTGAGGAAGAAGACATACCTCGAGGCCTGTTACTTAATTTTGTGACTGCACCCGTCTACACTGGATCCCCATTGTTCCTCGGCACGACCGAAGCGCAACATTCAGCTCGTATCGCGACCCAGAGAGTGATAGGTGGTACGGAATCCCCCACCAACAGGAACCACCGGTCACGACCTGCAAACCGGAACGGACCAGAGTCAGTGCCACCCGCGACAAAGAGGGGAGTGAAGGACTCACCAGCGTACCCGTACGCATATTACCCCCCTGGCAGCTCCGCCTCTGCTCAGCCGGGCACTGAACCTCTGGAAGGCGAAAGCCCTACGAACCAAGAAGCCCCACTGAACGGAACACGTCCTGCGGCGGACACAGCAACTGGAGGTGGACCAGCGAAACTGCCACAACGACGAGTGATACTGAAACTGGGTAAACCCCCAGCATCACTGGAGGGCGGGTCAGTACACACTAGTACAGAACAAAGACACTTACCTGCAACACACCCCAAGCATCTTAGCGAATCGCACAATGAGAAGGACGCACCAGTAGGAACAAACAAGGACCTACAGAGTAACGTGACCAGTGATCACATAAGCGTCCCGGTACCAAACAATGACGTCATAGAGCAAGACCTGGGCCAGAACCGCATGGAATCAAGTGACGTCACCCATGACGCAAGTGCGGAAACTCCCGGCTGTGTGAACAGCGCCGACATCAATGTACAATCAGACTCCGTCTCAAACCTACTAGAGTCGCCACCAATCCTCACCGAAACGATAACGTTAGGTGATCCATCCACTGATGTACATGCCAGTATAGTAAACCGGTACTCTGAAGACCAGTTCTTTGAGAAAATCCTAAGTAACCCTGGAGCATATAAGAACTTTGAAGTGAGTAATGGGCGCATATTCCTTAAGGACTCAGAAAAGCGGATCCTATGCATCCCAGACATCTCCATTGGCGCCAGACGCATAAGAGAACTTGTGATATCCCACGCCCACTCCATACTTGCACACCTAGGGCCATCCAAAACCCTTTCGTACCTCAGAGAAAACGTCTGGTGGAAGTCTATTGCCACGGACGTCCAGTCTTACTGCAACTCGTGCTCCACCTGCCAAGTCTCAAAGCCGTCGAACCACCAACCGTACGGACTACTGGAAACACTCGACGTCCCAACTCGTCCATGGGAAACGATAGGCATTGACTTTGTAGGTCCACTCCCTGAATCCAAGACGCTAAGTGGCGTCTTTGACATGATTCTAGTAGCCATCGACCACCTAACCTCAATGGTCCACCTCGCCCCTACGAAACAAACGTACCGAGCGAAAGATATCGCGGAGGTCATGTTCCACTCAGTATACAAATTACATGGAATGCCTACTAACATTGTTAGTGACCACAACACCCTGTTCACCAGCACCTTTTGGCAGAGGCTCCACCAACTCACTGGTGTAGAGCTTCGCATGTCTTCTTCATTCCACCCTCAGTCTGATGGTGCTACCGAGCGTGCTAACCGTACGATGACTCAGATGTTACGGACCCTGGTGTCTCCTCACCAGCGGGACTGGGCTATCAAGCTACCCGCCGTTGAATTCGCCATGAACTTGGCCTGCTCTAGCTCGACCGGGTACCCCCCATTCTTACTGAACTACGGCATGCTACCACCTCCTCTCATTTGGAATACCAAGACCGAGTACCCCGGTGTCCGCGTGTTCCTGCAAAGAATGAAAGACGCCGTCATGAACGCTCACGACGCTATAATAGCCGCCCGCGTCAAAAGTACTGCCAACGCTAACTCGAAACGGAGAGAGAGCCCCTTCGTCGAAGGAGATTTAGTCTACCTCTCCACTGAAAACTTATCCCTGCCCAAAGGTCGCGCTCGAAAGCTCTCGCCCAAGTACATTGGTCCTTTTCGAATCGCCTGAGACTATAAGAATAACACTTTCTTATTAGATCTCCCAAGCGAACTAAAACAACGTGGCATCCACCCTGCATTCCACGCTCATCTACTGCGCCTCCATGTCCCGAACGACGACCGAAGGTTTCCGGGTCGGCAGCTTCAACAGATTTCGGATATTGGTACCCCCGAGGAATGGTCAGTCTCCCGCATCTCTGATCATCATGGTGCGGGTACTGATGCCATATTCAAGGTCGTTTATACGACCGGTGACCACGTCTAGCTACCTTACCACGTTGTTTCACGACTCGAGGCCCTCGTTCAGTACTTAGAGGCTCTGGGAGTTCCAGGTATCAAGCACCTTACTAAGAAATTGCATCCCGATCAAAGCAATATACAGCTCGCAACCGTTGGTACATTCGCCGAAGCGAAAAACTTAGTATATGGTGTATCTGATCTACCACTCAACGACTTAGCCGAGGCCAGCCGAACGTCCGACCCGCAGAGTATAAAACCTCGTGCCGGGTCACCCAGTACCGCTACACTCACCACCAATACCTCTCCCATCTCTCTGCTTTCGATGCCCCTAATCGGTCGCGGACCCCATTCCAACGACATGGTCGTTGATGACCCGGTACCCCTTCGCACCTCCGAGCAGACCTCTGGTCCTCGTCGAGAAAGATCTTCCCACCGTGGACGAGGTTATCGTCACCGTGGCGGGCGTCGAGGGCATGACCTTCCGCCCCGGGCTCGTGAGTCCAACTCCGATGCCATGAGCGCGTTCACTCGATTCTTTCGAGCTGAAGCTCAAGCCAGCAAGTACCCCAGCGGATATCGTCTCCCTGCCGGTACTTACTTTACCCGTCGCACCCCATTAGAGGAGTTCACCACTTAAACATAAATTTTACGACCAACTCTTATACTCACCTTACAAAATGTCTAACACCTACAATTAGTAAAATCACGGCACGTCAATCTGTAAACTCATAAATAGTATTATACATTTAAGTCCCGTGGCCAATGACTAGGGTGATGAGGATGATTTAGCTTCCCTTTCATTCATATTGAAACTAGCGACTTACTTCTGTGCAATATCATTTTGGCTACAGATCCGTAAAGCCACAACTTGGCCACGGGCGTCTTCGATATGACACAATTATGGTATAACGTCCAAAAGTTATGACTCACCAGTAAGTGGCATCCTGCTGCGAATCGGTACTTTTGACTTCGTATGTCATTTGTTGGAGCAGTGGATATCATATGGCGGCAGTTAGATATACCTGGTCTATTCATTTGATAATAGATACTACATTATAATCCTAAATGTGATGGCCCGTTTGTTGCAATCTGTCACATGAGTCAAGCTGTAGTAACCATAGATCAGTAGTCAAACTTATGCCCTCTCGATATATGTTTCAAACTATTTTTACTGTGGAGCATCTCTTGCACTTACTTTGTTCTGATGCATGATTTCAATCTCAGGCAGTAATCGCATATATTTCATAAACAGTGACGAAAAGTAAAGGTTTCCCAGACACCTCTAGCGTATATGTATTGGCTGTCATTCAATGTCTCAATTGTGTAGCCTCGCCATGTTACACAATTAGGTCTACATGGGGGATACGCGATGCTGTGGCAGCAATGTGCTGTGTGTGACAATTCCAGCTTCGTTTGTCACTCTAGATCCATGCCATTCATTTGCGTTTCTGTTCAATTTTGAATAGCTGCGTATCCATTATATTGATCCCACAATGTACATTATTGTGTACATAGATAATACAAATAGGTAGTACATGCATTAGTAAAACGTATCACTGGCAGCGTCTGGCAGAAGTGTTAGCAACAGAGTATTGCACTACATTCTGAGGCAAGTAAGTAGACACATTGCGAGCCCCAAATACCTTTCTACAAAGTGTAAGTAATGTACGAACAACAGAAAGCTTACAACACACTCACCTGTTCCACCAAACAAGAAGAGTGTCGATGGAGGCTTTGGCGGCAGATGTAGGTGGATGCTCGAAGTAGTCGATGATGTAGATGTAAAACTGACGATGATCAAACTCATCATCAACGATACGCCAGGCACCACAGCTTGATAAGGCAAATCGTAACTGGGATTCCAGGTCCCTTCAGTTATCGTCGTGTCTAAGAAAATTATTAAACATACTTGGACTGCTGAATAGGCGATAGCTCGCGGTTGAACTGAGCGCATTCCTAATATTGTCGCAATGTTGGACCGGGTGCGCCGTTCACCTGAGGTCCTAGACCGCTTGTGCGATGATTCCTGGTAGCCCAGGGGTTCTTCTTCGTCAGGTCGTATCTCCCCAGCAGAGCTGGGGGATGTAAAAATATGTTTGAAAGTCTGTGCCAATAGGTGAGTACAATCCCTTGAAAGGAGATACTAATACCCACCCTGACGAGCCAAGCACTTTTGAACAGCCCTTTCGTCGGGTCGTCAGGGTCGTATTTGCCGTTACTATACAAGAATGCTGGCCATGAATGGGCAGTGACTTGGAAGTCAGGTTCGTAGTTTCGGATCCCTTCCTTCGTTCTATGGCTATAATCAGTATGAGGTGTAGTAAGCCGGTTAGTGAGGTCATACCTTGGATTGGCCCAATGGAAATCCACAGGACATAGAAGTTCCCCGGTCGCATCATGATAAAATCCACGTCCGGACTTGTCGACTGAGGAGATTGGTGGGTTGGGGGTAGGACGGCTCTCATTGAGCCACGAAGCCACTGTTTTCTTCAAAGAACTAGCATCATCGCCCCGTGCTGAATCGGCACCTTTATTGAGCTGAATTCAATTGGGTTTAAACATTGATGTGACTACTTGCATGACGGACAACTTACTTTTTGATAAGCAACGTTGAGCTGATATCCGTCACTTTGAGAGTTGATAAGGCTGCGGACACATGGAACCCAGCGAAGTAGCTGTTGAAATGACTGATAGGTTCGTTCCTCCCTAGAATATTGAAAACAGGATCAAATCAACCGACTGAAGTACTCGAGCATAATACTCACTCTTCCGTGTGTTGGTCATCTTCATCACATAGAGCGCTCCTTCGATCGTGCTCTCCGATAAGGTCCTCAACCCTGTCAGTTAAGCTCATGAGGCGCCGGATGGCTCGGCCAGCAGGGACATATATATCACCATGGCTATTGGACATCAGCTGCGTCAGATACATATAGAAATCCATGTTAGTACAATACCTTTTGTTGCGATGGCTTTCTCCCTGCAGCTCAGCATTTTGCTCTTCTAGAGCAGCAATGCGCCGTTTGAGAGCGTTATGGGTCGCATTAGGTGAATTGTTGTCAGAAGGACTCGGAGACTGCGACATGGGTAATAGGAACTTGAAGGAAAAAATGAGGGTGATTGACGTACCCAAGATGATAAGCTTTTCAAGCACCGATATTTGAAATTGACGTGGAGCAAGATTTACGGATGTATAACAAGATTTATGCTTGTCAGAGCCGTTGTAACGGGAAGGACTGCAATGGAACCATGGCCAGATTACGATGCGCGGGGACTAAAGTCGAATAATTAATAAAATGCTCCACTCTGTTTGAATGGAGCAGACCATGATGTCGTTATACGGACCCTTGTGGTGTTTCCGAAAAGAACGGAAATGTGGTGTCAGAGCAAAGGGGTATTGAGCGCAAGCGAAACTCTGAGTCGGATCTCATTGCGGAACTTGTAGCGTCATTGTAATGTCATGGTGGGTCCATGCAAAGGCTCATCACTGGCATCAAAGGTGGTCGTGGGGGCGCTGTGACAGCAGTGTGATGTGTCTGTTTTGCTGAGAGCATCGCTGCAAAGAGGGATCTTTGACAATTGTGGGCTATCAGTGATCTGTTGTAGCCCCGTAGGAGGTATTCTGTATCCTGGACTTGAGTTACCCGTGCTGCTGCTGCGACTGGAAGTGGGCCTCTGGAAGACCTGTCCGCCAAATGAAACGATAAGAATCTTCGTCTCATCTGGATTGTGTAGATGTTCAGGGACACCAAGCGACGAAAGAAATCGGGATCGACCAATAGGCGAGTAAACTGTGTCTGGTCTTTTGCTAATACCACGAACGAGAAGAGGAGCTTGGATGATGCTGCGTGCAAGCGGTTTCTTAGGGTGCGAGTCGGTGAAAGGTATCGAAGGATGGAGTAGGTGTGTGTCGGGTTTCTTCCTGCGGGTTTGTTCATGATGATGCTGTCGACGCTGAGTACCGATACAGCGGCTTCTGTTGCGAGCTTGATGGCCCACTGTTTTGCGGCTAGTGGGTCGAGAATCTTGAAGTCGGTAGCTAGCAAAGTGCCATCTCGTTCGGCCTAGCATATGATCAATCAATCAAAGGATGATGAACCAGAACTAGTGAACTTCACCTCTATATCGACACCCCAGACTTCGCCGCCCTCCTGCTCGTGCTTGGCCCACAACCGACTGAGAACCCCCACCCCCAAAACAGTTGGAGAGGGATAAGCATTCCAACCTGGGACACCTTCAATTACGGGTGGGGGGTGAAAAGACGGTAAGTTGGTGCTCTGATCGCATTGCGCGGAATTGAGTTCGTTGGAGTGGAGGACTGTGATGGGAGGAGAAATATCTTTGCCATGAACGCGCATGCCTGTGGAAGGGATATGATCTCGTGATGGTAGGGATGAGGCAGAGGTGTCTGGTGTTATAGTAGATGAGAAAGCACCGGATCGCGAACTTAGCGAGTCGATTACGGTGGCGGCCGAATCGCATCGCGAGACATGTCCAAAGGTAGAACGGAACTGAGCAGGTCTAGGAGGGGTATAAGAAGCCACCAAATCAGGGTTGGCATAGGGATGTACGAAGTCCTCGTGAGACAGGCGACATTGGGAAGTATGAAACGACGAGACAGTATCACTACGTTCATGACCTCGTGTAACCTCCGAAACTGGAGAGTATGGTGCGGGTGTATCTTGTGTGAAGGACGACGGCCGAGAAATGTGTCCCTTACTAACTGGAGGAAGACGAACCCCGAGTTATGGCAAACCGTACTATGACCTCGACTAGGCTCTTCGAGTGTGCAAAAGAACGGGGCGCATTCAAATCATGCGTTCACATTTATTCGCAAATGGGTCTTTGAGAAAATAGCGTGAACCTGGCATTGGAGAAGGGTGACTTGGAGCTCGCAAAGGAACATGCCAACAAACCGGAGGACGACGCACCGTTGCAGAAGAAGCTTTGGCTCAAGATTGCGCGATACGTGGTGCAGGATAAACAGGACAGTTGTGCCAGCCGTCCCGGGCCGCGTGAACCATTCCGGCAAATGCCGGAGATGTCATAAACAGCCAAAACGGGACATGTACGAATCTAAGTTACGATACGAACGACATTAACTCTGCATTAACTCACTCTAAACATCTACCGCTCCAGTAAAACATGAACAACAACGCTGATGCCAATGGAGGCGGAGGAGTCGGAAATCAGAACGCAGAGGGAAATCAGGAGCATCAGGTACGTCAAGAATTTTTTAATAAATCAGTACTCACCGGTATCCTACAGATCCCTCAACATCTTCTTCAACTCATACCGAGGCCTCGCAACGTGATGTTCACGATGACCGAAAGGCAGATAGTAAGTAACGAATCATCCAGGGGTTACAGTCTTTAACATTTCAAAGCAATTCATGTACGTTACATGGGCCGGCGCACGAGTCCGCGTGCGTCAGGAACTCTACCAACCTGAGTTACCGGTTCAACCCTACCCTCAGCCCCCGGTCTGGACAGAAGAAACGCGTGCGATGATAGTGCTTTGGATCGCGAGGGAGCGCCGAATTTTCCAGATGGAGGTGGAGGAGATGGAGCGTCTCCTGGGACTTCGGGGTGCGCATTAGTGCTTCTAGGTAAGCTGCTTTTAAAATTCTGAAATTTTGAACGGACTTACGGATATTAGACCATACACAAGTTCTAAGAGGCTGGAGGGAGGTTTAGCGACTGCACACATTGGACACTTGCGCGATATACGTACCATGTAACACCACCATACAATGTAACACCACCATACAAATCCTACAAAGTCGATCCAACCTGTATATGTTTTTGCCGTTAGTATTGTCCACTTTCCCGCACAGAGAACCGAACGTATTCGATTCAGACGCTAGGACCAAACGCTTCGCCAGCACCGTCCGCCAACTGACATATCTACCAGGAGCATCGAGTGCCAGATACGCAATGTGCTTTAGCGATAAAAAAAAGTGTACCAGACCCGACGAACGAACCTCCAGGTCACCGGTCCACACATCAAGAGCTTCACCAGGATCAACGTGCCCTACTTTGACAACCATCGAAGAGTCAGCTCCAGGTGAAGACTCCCCCGCAACGAAGTGAATCAGAGTTGTCTCTGGCCAAGCCTTGTCTCCCTGGTTTAACATCCGTCAGGACTTAATGAACTCAGCACCAGGTAGAAAAATCTGACCGCTAGGAACTGTCGTGTCGGACACAAAAGCACCCTCGATAGTGTCATGACCGTGCAATTATGTCCCGGTCGCATGGAGTCTTGGTCACGCCGGACATCGTAGGTAGTGTAGTTGACTTGAAAACGACGTGGTTGCTGGACTCGAGACAGGTTATTGATGAAACGCAGCTCATTCCTCTCGGAATCAGAAAACAGATGCTCATCGCCATCATATTCGAGACCTGATCAATCGTCTGGACCAAGTTACTATAAGGTGAGATCGATTGTTCGCGATAAACCAACTTGATAGCATTCGAAGTTGGTTGCGGATGGATGGATAGAGCAGCAGGTGCCGATTCTGGCGTCTTCCTATCTTTGTTAGCAGTTGGTGGGACAAAGTTGTCGGGTTTCGTAGGTGGGGACATCATTGATTGAGGTGGCGGAGGAGGCATTCCATATTGCGATTGCATTTGTTGGGGGGCACTGCCTTGACCATGCTGACCCTGCGACTGTTGTAATAATGCGAGGATATTTGGAGGTAAACTAGGAATTCCAGTGTGCACCTGCCCTGGCTGAGGAGTGGGTGTCTGAGAAGGCATCTGAGCATATGGGTTAGCACTGGGGCCAGGCGGAGGAGTGAAAATAAATGGCAAGCGCCAGAGTTAGGATCCGAACTGACATATTTTGATAGATTCCCAAAAAAGAGATATATCGGCCATGCGGTAGACTAGGAATTCCAGTGTGCACCTGCCCTGGCTGAGGAGTGGGTGTCTGAGAAGGCATCTGAGCATATGGGTTAGCACTGGGGCCAGGCGGAGGAGTGGAAATAAAATGAGGCATGAGGAGATCGTGAGGACCGTGAGTCGTGTGTTGAAGATAACAGCCGGAGGTAAAAAGCAGAGCACGAACTAAATCAAAGAGCAGGTATAACTGTAGTGTCAGTACTGTAGCACAACAGATACTCGGAGAAAGTCCGCTCACTGCAAATCATAAGATAGATGCCGTCAAGGCTATCACTTTGCCCCAAGGGCATGCTTCAAAAGCTCCCGTGACAACTGTTATCACACTGAGTACATTCCATTTCAAGAATGAGCAGGCTTACCTTGATGAAGATTCTGAACGGTCTGTCTCAAAAAATGCGCACTGACTTGAAACGCGGCAGTTATGAAGAGTTGAAATCAGGGAATTGAACCAAGAAAGGCTAAATCTGTTAGTCATGACTCAACACTTGAGCTTACTAAGCCCAACTTGTCTCAAGATGTAGGTGCACGAATGATATCAAGGGTTAATTGGATCACTGGGACACTGCTTCAAATACACGTGCTAGGAGAGCAGTTTGCTCTTGGAGTATCATAACGATTTCTTTTCCTAACCCAGTGAGTCTCTCTTTGTCCCCGTTATCGGTGGTACGCCGCTTCTTTGCAGGTGGAAGTTCTACTTGTGAGTTTGTGATATCGCGAGCAAAGTCCCGGCGACTCTGAGCCTTTTCATGCTGAGGTTGATTAGTACTATGTGATAATTTGAGACAAGACCTCAGATGAGACTCACTTGCAGCCTGTTAGATTTGCAGCCGAAGCTCGAGTCACTTGACAAGGCACGTTTCAAAATTGTCTGTGGAATATTGACAGGAAAATTTTCATGCTAGTAACAAGAACGCTCATGAGCTATTTCGTCACATGGTATTAGGAAATATTACCTCCTGCTCAGCATCTTCTCTCGTGTTGTGTGTTGGTGATTGTGACCTTTGGGAATCCAATGTCTCCTGAGCATCGAGACCTGGTTTCGCTCTTGATTGAGAGCAGGCTTGACTGTATATGTAGTTCCCTTGCGAATCAGCTGATGCTCCTTGACCATTTGCGGGGAAATGCCATCTTTCAGAATCTGGTGAGTCTCTGACTCCGAGGATTTGTGAAGCACCGTCATTGCGACTAGAGCCTCGAGAGCTATGTTCAGAGCTTTTATCAGGATCATAAGGCATTGTGAAAGATATCTGACAATTGAACGCTACCTCGTCCTCCAAGTCAGGCTAGTAGTACCTCTTACCACCCTAATGATATCATTCGTGGAGCATCAATTACATTTCCAAGCACATGATTCACGGCGACCTGACTAGCGTAAGTTTTGCATATGCTGTATGGGGAAGAGACGAACAGGTGGTACTCAGGTGGAGCGCGAACGCGAGGTGGACGCGAATCGGTTCCGCGTGATCAGATGTTCTGTCCTTACATGTTAGATTTTCCGAACGTGGTAAGCTGTATGTCAACCGTACTCGGATTCGATGAAGTGACACCAAGGCCAACGGGCCCCAGATTGGCCTGAGGATCGTGTCAGACAGCGGCACCTTTCTAACTTGAAATTCCAAACCTGTAACTCGGTCTTGAACACTGCACTGATAATATGCTCCGTTTGCCACACGAGATCGAAAGGACAGTCTTTCAACTTGCAGCAGGCGTCCATCCTGCAAATGATGTGCACTCGTATTTATTGGTCGCCCCCAGAGTTCATGACTGGTAGGCAAAAGTCCTGAGATATGCTGGATTCAGTTGTGACTTACAAGATGGTAATAGGATTGAAGGATTGATGTATCGAACCGTTGTCCTTGCCAGTGAGGCACGAGCATGCCTCTTTGTTGATTCACTTCGTTCTCGACCAGTGTTTGCTTCTGTGAATGTCAAATCTCTCTGTATTCGCGGTATGGTGCAACTCGCCACAGCGGTAGAGGTCATACAACTGTGCAGTGGTATTGTCGACCTCGCCCTCTGGATTCTGCCAGAGGGGGATCATGACATGCTGGATCACCTATTGGATGCATTAAACAAGCTACCTTTATCACGGCTGTCTATCCACTTATCGACCGTCTTCCGTAGAACTGACATGCCATTCCTACCATCCATCTCTCTATTCAGCAAAGTCACCCACCTTGACTTGTTGGAAGGTTGGGTGCTTTGGGGCTCCCCAATCGGCATACATTGCCTAACGCAACTTACACATATTTCCCTTCGACTGTTCACTGATCGGACAGCACCAGCCTTGCTGCAAATGATCCTTGCAGATTGCATTCACCTGAAGGTATTGGTTTTGCGTGTAACAGAGGAAGTTGGCAGGGTAGAAAAATGGTTGCAGGAGCACGACGGTCTCGATGATCATCGTATTGTTGTGACGGCCAAGAGCTCTCGTGATACCTGGAATTGCAAAACAAGTGATGGTATGAGTCTGTGGCAGTATGGAGATTATATTGCAAAGTGTCGAGACGCGATACATGAATGTACATACAATTTAGGCCGAGAATATCTGCAATGATGGTATATGATCATATGGCATCATATGGTTGTCGTTGCACGTTTGTATTTGTTTGTCTGCAAGTTTATGGGTAACGATGCACCAAGTCCTGACTCCATTTCCGCCAAATCTAATATTGACACTACTTCAATCATTTGCCGCGTCACCCATGTTATATTACATCGCTCGCTTACCAGTATACCATACTTTCTCCAATAAGATATGGTAAGCATCAGTCCTCCACAGTCTGCGTTCAGTCTTGATCTGTGGTGCAGATCTATCGCCACCATGAAGTTGAACCTCACCACCATAACCATGACATGGAGCACAAGAAAGCAGGATCTCTCCTCGGGCGTGTTCACTGCACCATTATGGCCCTCGGCCTATGGGACTCGGGTCGCGCTGTCGCGTTCGTTCTTGGTGAGTACTTGTATTGTATCGCTAAATTATCTCTGATGTGCTTGGAAAGGTTGCGGAATCGGTGTTTTGCTTCGCATGTTCTGGGTAATGTCTGTCCTCGTGTATCGCACTGTCAGAGGTGAGCGATCGGAGAAGATCAGCCACGGGTACATCATGTTCGAACATGATGCAGAGACCCACTTCGTGCCTCCTCCTGAATACACTGACGAGAATCCATTCCTTCCCCTTAAGCACTTCATCTACAAACTTCCTGTTCATTCGCTAAACAAGCTCGAGTCCCTTGCTCTGGTGTCCCATGACCTTACAATTTCGCCTGCTGTTGGCATTAGTGGCTGGGGCACATCATTTACCGCAGTCGCTCCCTTCATACGCCCAACCAATTTCTTGTTCCTCTTCGAATCTGGAAGCACCTCTCTCACACTCCAGTTCAGTACGCGCTTCAGCGAAGCGTGAGAAAGCGCAGGTGCGCGCAAGGTACGAAGGCGCGGGAACGCGCGCGGTATAGCGCGAAGCGCGGAAGCGCGCGCATGTAAGCGGAAAATAAGAGAGACTAAACTTATGTGAAGATATAGCAAGATAAGGATGTGAGATGTGTTGTGCTAATGAATAGCTTTCTACTGTGACTTTCTAAGTAGTAGTACTAGGTAAGTTGGGTGAAAGTAAGGTAACTAATAGTATGTACTGCTGGCGCTTATATAGCGCGCCTAATGCGCGCTCATGCGGAGCCGAAGCGCTACCGAGTAGGTATGTAAAAAATATATATGAGTGAGAAACTATGATAAAATAAAGGTGGAACTATGCTAATAAAGGAAATGGAAATATCGCACTAGGGAGCTTGGTGGACAGTGGATGGATGCATCTGGATGGTGGCGCTATAGGGCGCGCAAGCGCGGGATGGTGCCGCATGGCGCGCGTGCGGCGGGAAAGCTGCCGTCTTCCTTAGCTTTTGCGGGCGATCGTCCAGCCATCCTGGATCTGTGCTTGAAGATATGTTTCTGGACCAGATGCTCTCGCGCATCTTAGATCTCTGATTCCAACTCGCAACACTACTGCAATTGATCACCACGAACGTGCCATACCATAATTTCATACATTTCATTTGGGAATGCACTAATCTACCCATTCTGTACTAGTATCCGCCGCCTGCAGCACTGTCAGTTTAATATACAGTGTCTTATGCTCTGATCTGTGTGATCGTGGAGTGGTTAGTGTTTGTCGAAGTTCCTGCATGAACTTTTTTTACCTTCTGAGTCTTTCTATGTGGGCTCTGGCTGCAGCGCATTTATTGTGTCGATGACATGAACATAGAAATTCATGATCATCAGAGGGCACAGGTTGTAAAATATATGAAGGCTTTCTGGAGAGACGATGCACATATCATCTAGAGTCTTCACTCCCATCAGTTTCAAAGGGGTGAGGAATAACTCTGGCCATTGCCGCGCCGGCTCATCATTACTGAGCTGCTCCATAAAGGCTTCCAAAGTGGGATATGGAATTGATGGGTCGGTTTCAATCTCCACATCGATGAGTATGCTTGAAGTGATAGTAGTTACTGACATGGGGTCGTGATAATAGAGGAACAATGACTTGGACTCAGACTTTAATGCGCGGCTGTACTCACTATGGCATCTTTATAACAGAGCTTAGGGTACTACAAGCTCCAAGGATGCTACAAGCTCCGATCCTAGGGCGCAACATGATGCGACTTGGCAGTGACTCGGACTCAATGCGGCGACTCAGTGAACTCCGATCAACTTACGCATGGTTCACGCTAAGCTTAATGTAAACTAAGAAGCCGCAATATATGGTCATGTATTAGCCTCACCAGTTTGATCTGAGTCATCACTAGGTTCTGGGGTATTCAAGTGATCCAAACTCCACGGGTCTTATTGGCACTGCGTTCGTTGTGTCATGATTGGAGTCAAAGTTTTTGTTTGTTGACTAATGGAGATCAATTAGATAATCGCACGCACCTTTACCTGCCAGCAATTGAACAGGCCTTCAGCCCAATCGCAATCGTCATGTCCACGACCAGCACAATCACTATCAGGAGTCATTCCTCACAATCCCATAGCCCTAAAAACAACAGCCAGGGCAGGCCTACTTGCAAAGTGAAAGTTATCGAACGATACAAGCAGCCTCCAACCAGGTTAGCAACGAGCCGGGGGAGAAAGCCGGCGACCAAGGACACTTCTACATCTCAAGCCACCCTCCGTGAAGTCAATCCAAATTTGACCAAGGCTCCCGTTACTGCACGACACAAGGTGCTTAAATTTGTCTCACAATCGAATGGTGAGGCAGATTGCGAGGTATGTCTGTGCGCTTCAACATTCATTTACTTAATCATTACGTTGCCAGGTATTTCAAAATATCACTCAAGCGGACTACAATTATATATCTTGCAAAATCGAAGACTACCCTGCAAGACCAAGGTAAACATATTCCAATAATTTCTTTCGAGTTATAACATACAATTCTTCTAGGTTGGAATACAACTGCAATACCCATACCCTTGTCGTTGAAATGCCATCCCCCGTACACGAGGCTATAATCAAGGTTATCGGCAAAGGATTGGAACGTCTAGACGATTATTTGCAGGATCTCATGGTCGAGAATTTACTGTCCTCAGACACCCATACTAACTTGACCATTGACGGGAACTCGGTGAAATGTGTCCCTGATGTTCTCCACATGGTTACTGCCCTCACCGACCCCCCCATCCTAAGCACTCCTGTCATGGGCGAGGTGGCTGTATCGCAGTCCAGAGCTGATCTACTGCAGAGGCTCAGGGACAGGGTCGAGGCATTCCCAGATATCATCCTGCTCTTCATGGCCGAGATCAATGAACGCATCACCTACAGCCAACCCAAGCATATGAGCAATGCATGGCGAAAGCTACAAAAGGATGAGAATGCTCGCTCCCGCACCACCTTCCTTTCCAACCGCACTGGATCAAGATCACTCGATGTACCCGCTGAAATTGAAGTTGAAGGGCACGTCTGGCATGCGATGTCAAGCGTGCATTTCCAGGTCTGGGTGCAAGACGTCAACGGGCGAATTGACATAGACACGCAGAACCCAAATCTCACAGCACGTGGCGTAAGTCCCACCGGCACTAAGCGATTTGTGACTGACCATACTTACAACAGGAATTATTTCCGAACAAATCAATGGACAATGTCACACTGATGATGGAGAGGGGACTGTCCCGGATGAGGGAACAGTATGCACAGCTGTCCCAACAGGTCAGCCCAAATGTTGACGTTTCGGCCTTGCTGGCCGCGCCTGTCACTCTCCCCTTCGGATGGGATGGGATGCTTTCTAAGCTTGCCCTCGCAAGTCTGACAATGGCTCATGATCGTTATAAGAATTGCCATAATGCGATGGCACGCAGTAGGACAGCCAAGCGCACGGCAGAGGAAGCGTTTGATGCAGGGCCAGCCAACAACACACGTTCACGCACGCGTGCTCGCACTGCTGCACTTGTCCGGGGCCAGAGCTTACCATAATATAGTACCCACAGGTAGATGCCTGCTGCTAAACCCACCTTGATACTCATTGTCACTCAGTCCTACCATTAGCGTTCATCATCATCTTGTACTCTAGCACACCATTTTCAGATACCCGATGTACCATCACATTGCACTCGTGTATGATGCTTTCTTGAATTGATACAATAGTTGTATTAGCCCTTTTGCCTTTGGCATCGACATGAGACACAACTCTGAGTTCATTCTTTGCGAGTTTTACATGACGTACGTAGATATATAGTATTTGAGGTCGATATCACGTTGCAGTGACGCGCTACGGAAGTGGAGCTATTACATAGAGTGGCAGTGCTGCTAGTACTACACCTACAGTTCTTCCACTTCACTGCTGACCTGACGGTCAACTGCTGGGAAATGATCGACCTGAAATGAACATTACTAGATCTACCCTCTGCATACTTCTGTGTCTGACTTTGTGTCTTCTGACGATGGACCATCACCGCTGGGAATGTGGGCCGCCCTGTCCAGGCAAGTTCTCTGACTACACGGGGCTTGGTCGACATCGTAGGACTTGCAACCATTACAAGCACCGCGTGGATCTACAAGCCCAGAATTTCAAACGTCGAGCTCGTGAAGACCCCCGGCACGTTAAGGTGTTTAAGAAAATGAAACCCTCCATAGCGGATGAAGACCAGGTACGTGATACTTATTTTATCGTCCATGGGTGACAGGCTAATTAGTATCCAAGACCTTAGTGGCTTCATCCTCAGGCATCGATTTAGAGCAGTCAACAATCAACCATACTCCCCAGATACTGGATCAATCCAACAGCATCGCTCCCTCCCCATCCACCAACAATTCAATTGGCCACAATCCAACTAGTTCTCCTCCCCCAGACCCTTCCACCACTCTGGACTGTGATCATAATTCACGCCCAAGGCGCATGCAGAGACTCCCACTGCGATATAGGGATGAACTTCCAGAAGCACCACTACCTTTCGCTCAGGATCAGCCAACCTCGCGTCCTACCCGCGTAATTCTCCACGTTTTCGACTCTATCTGCACATTATTCAATAAGTTTGGCATTGCCCGCCAATATCGTCATCGCCCTTCATATGATCCAGATGCATTTGTATCGGCAGATGAACTCTCCAACATACGTCCTACTGAATCCCATACTAGTGACCACAGCATACAGGATGGTGAGGTGCCCTCAGGTGATCCTTCACGTCCAACGGCACCACCTTGGCCTTGGAAAAACATGTCAGTCTGGAGGCTGATGTCGTGGCTGGTGACAGGAAGCGATCGGAAGTCGATGACAGAGGCCAAACGTCTGGTCGATGACGTGATAAAAGCGGAGGATTTCAATGTCAATGATTTCGAGCACTTCGACCCCAACACTCAGATGAAGAATTTTGATACATCTATAGATCACGCCGACACCTTGGACATTCTACAATGAGATGGTTGGAAGCAGACAGACGTGGAGATTATGGTGCCGTCAAAGGAGAAAAATCCTAGAGGGAATGGGCGTGTATTCTCAGTTTCTGGGCTCTTCTACCGGCCACTCACTGCAGTTATACAAGCTGCATTCTCGGAGCAGTCTTCGAAATGGTTCCATCTGACGCCTTTCAGGCGTATTTGGAAATCACCAGTCACAGGGCAAGAGCAACGACTTTACGATGAGCTTTACACCTCGGACGCATGGCTTCAGGCTCACGA